TTTGGCTAATATTCTTCTTTTAGCTAAAGTTATTCTTTTAGCTAATGTTCTGCTTCTTTTGGCTAATATTCTTCTTTTAGCTAAAGTTATTCTTTTAGCTAATGTTCTGCTTCTTTTAGCTAAAGTTCTTCTTTTAGCTAATATTCTCTTCTTCTAGCTAATATTATTTAGCTAAAGTTCTTTTTTTAGCTAATGTTCTGCTTCTTTTAGTTAATGTTCTTCTTTTAGCTAATATTCTCTTCCTTTAGCTAATATTCTTTAGCTAAAGTTCTTTTTTTAGCTAATGTTCTGTTTCTTTTAGTTAATGTTCTGCTTCTTTTAGCTAAAGTTCTTCTTTTAGCTAATGCTCTTCTTTTAACTAACGTTCATTTAGCTAACATTCTGCTTCTTTTGGCTAATATTCTTCTTTTAGCTAAAGTTCTTCTTTTAGCTAATGTTCTGCTTCTTTTAGCTAAAGTTCTTCTTTTAGCTAATATTCTCTTCCTTTAGCTAATGTTCTTTAGCTAATTTTCTGCTCTTTTAGCTGGTGTTCTTCCTTTAGCTTTTGAACATCAGTAAACTTCAGCAGCCATTCAGCACACACAAAGTTTTTAAAATCTCACTTAGGTGTTTAAACAGAACTTTTGCGACCCAGATCCTGGTACTGACCCAGAAGGTCCACGATGATGGAGTTCCCCAGCAGGAGGGAGAAGCCCATCAGAACCCAGGGAAGGAATGGGGCCTGGAAGTTCAGGAGACCGAAGAAGTTCATGCGGACGTTGGGGTTCCTCCGACTCCACACGTAGACCAGCATGATGGTGAAGGCCTGACCCAGGAAGACCAGGCTCACAAACATGCCGAAGATCTGAGACCCGGTCAAAGAAAGTCCCAGAACTCGGACTCTGAAAACCCTCAAAAAGTGACAGACTTCTGAACCGGTTCAGTTCTAACAAGCTCATCTACAAAAACTCTCTTTCCAGGATCCCCTGGATTCTCTAAAACTCCAGAGACCCTCAGACAGGCTGTTGGTTTCTAACATGGACCAGAACCCGGGTTATAGCTAGAACCTCCTGACTGTGAGACCATGAACAGGTCTCTGAGACCGGGACCAGATCTGTGAGGATACGGTCATGAGGAGTCCACCGAACAGGAACATAAAGACGAAGTCAGCTGTTCTCCCCCTGAAGGATCCCTCCTCCAGCATCCGACAGTATCTGTATCTGGAACCAGGGGTTAAAGAAAACCAGAACTAGAACCCTCAGAACCCTCATGCCACCAGGACACTTTCTGTCTCTGCAGCTGCACTTCACGTGTCTGAAACATGAAGTGAAACATGTAAATTGAGTTCTGATGCTAAAACCCACAGAATCAGAACCGACAAGGATACAGAAAGATCATGTTAAACAGGAAGTTGAAGCCGACTGGACCGAAGAACAGGAAGTTGGTGACTAAACGCCATACCTGAATGAACAGACATTAATTTTGATTATTAGTGGGTTTGGTTCTGATGGAGCAACAAACAGCTGGAGGTCCAGGTTCTTCACCTGGTAGTTCTTCAGAATCAGATCTGGATTAAAGTAGAGCTGAAACGGTGTGATGATCTCCAGCTGCTGCAAAACAAACACACAGTTACACTCTACAAAATAAAAGCTAACAGACAAACGGATCTGGACCATCTGCATTCAGGACGGGGGGTTAGCTTAGCGCCGTGTTCGTGAGACTCGCAGTTTAGAGTGTGAGCTGAGCTGCTACTCTCCGCTCCCCGTCCGGAAGAGGCCGAGTGTGGGGTTGTAGGCGAGGCGCCCTCCTTGGATAATGGTAGGTGAAACACTGGAATCACATCACCGAGTCATAACGAGTCATACCGCCGAGTCACACAACCGAGTCAATACATAGAGAACACGAGTCATAATATCCAGTCACACAAACAAGTCACACCACTGAGTCACAACAATGGGTCAGACCACCAAGTCACAACACTAGTAACACAACCGAGTCATGACACTGAATAACTAGGGATGCACCGATCCACATTTTTTTAACTTCCGATCCGATCCCTAAATCTGGATATCGACCGATAGATACTTTCACGGCATCGTCATCATAGATTTTATATGAGGCTGTAATAATCTCCTCAAGTACAATTTGTACAAATATATGTATGCATGTCCAAAAAGGCAACTTGAGGTAAGTTGTATTAATGTTGGATACGTTTCAAAGTTAGAACTAAATTCTGCTAACACAAAACATGTTTTTTTTAATTCCTAGCTTTAAAGCGGATATTAAAGTTGTTTTATATTTTTTTTAGATAAAGGGCAGCTATAATAATTTTTTTCTTCTTTCTGCACACTTTCATTCAATGTTTTCTTTTTGATGAATTTGTTGTGTTTATTTGTTTCTTTTAAATTAATGAATAAATGAATTTAAAAAAATTAAATGGCTTTAATCATCTAAGTTCACGACATAAACCAGCACAAACATCTTCCTGTTTTTAGTATTTTACATAGCTTTATAATGTAGCGCAGAGGTGACAGGACCTTCTCTGTAGCAGGACCAAGACTCTGGAACGAGTTACCTCTGCTTGTCAGACAGGCCCCCTCCCTCTCTGTTTTCAAGTCCCATTTAAAAACTCACTACTATTCAGTAGCTTTCAACACCAGATGATCTGTGTTTTGATCCTGTATGCTCCACACTGGTTTGTCATTATCTGCATCGTTTTTATGTCTATATTCTGATTTACCTCATTCTGTATTTTGCTTTGTGTGTTACCTGTTGTTCTGTCTGTACAGCACTTTGGTTGGCCTTGTAGCTGTTTTAAGTGATAAATAAAGTGGTATGATATGGTAAGGTATATGTATATATGTACATGTATACGTATATATATATATATATATATATATATATGTACATGTATATATGTATATATATACATATACATATATACATATACAGTACATATACATATATGTATATATATATATATATATATGTATATAAATATGTATGTAGTGAACTAGGCCTCCGACAACAATCTGTCTCTGAAGACCTTCAGGGGACAGGAACTGTTATTTCATTGATTTGAATCCAGAAATGCAAATTATCTCATCAAGAGACTATTTAATTGTATCCTGAATTAATCAATTGAAATAACACTCTTCTTTTTACATTATCATTACTATTTTACAATATCTTGATAATCAAAGTGTGTTTAGTTCATAACATTTCTAAATGTTGAAGTGAACCACTCATTTAAATCAACTGTGAAACAGTGTTAATGATTTTTAAACCTCATTAGATTTTTGATCATACAGTTAAATGCCTATTTACGAAGTAAGTGTGCATTTAGTCTTCTGTCTGAATGAGGAGTATTGATGTCGGTCAAAAGACAGACACAAACAGAGACGAGTTATTAGAACGAAGTGTCTTGTTTTTAAACCTTGCAGACAGTAAATAACTTCAACTGGCACCTGCGTTTGTCTCACCTCATCATAATATTTTCCTGTCTGTACTAACCGTTCTTAAACATTCCTGCTGTCTCTTGACTTCTAGTGACCCTCTGACATCACTAGAACCACACCCATGATGGTTGTTTCAACCAGTCAGGAAGTACCACGTAACAGGAAGTGTATACCCCTTTGAAAGGAACACTTCGTGGAACTATTCAGTCAGTCCTGGAACTCAGTCGGAGTCTTAAGTCTTAGTCTTCACGAGTCTTAGTCTCTTCTAAGTCTTGCTGGAACTTTCGGTCAGAGATGAGACTCACTTAAGCGCGGATGGATGGGACCATGTGCCAAGGGGTCCCTCCATTTCAGCGGAGTCACAGCTCGCATCGCTGTGCACTCAACCCGAGCAATAAATGCTCCACTTCTAAGGAAGCTTATTCGGTGGAACCGAGTACTTTGTCACGATTTCTGACGACCCCAGCTACTTTAACCGGAGACGCTGAAAAGGGAGCGTACTAATGGACTTCTGTTCCGGAGTGGAGGTATCCCCCATCTAAAGTAACAAGTCGTTGACGTTCTGAAGTGTACCGGAAAGCTGAGCTGGATGTCGGAGGAAGGGTGCAATGTTCTGGTTCCGCACATAACTTTCATCCATTTAAACCTCCTTTTTATATCTTTAAACTTCTATTTCTCCTCTTTAACTTTTCTATTCGCCAGTAAATCAAACTAGATGCCTTCAGAGCTGAATCAGTCTCAATCAGTAATGTTCTGTTGTCTTGTTAGTAAAGCTTGCCAAGTTTATTAATCAGAAACAGATCCGCAAATCAATGTGTACATGTCTTGATGTTAAAGTTTGATACTGTTAAATAAAGGACCGCATTTATTCTGATGGATCAAAGATAAAATGGCGTCTCATGTCACTGATTTAACAATCCACTCAGTTATCTCAGTCAAATGGCAGAAATTTAACTCGAAAAAGAAAAGAATCCGTTGTAATTAAACAATAAATATTCTTTGTGCTTGAACTAGCTATAAGAATAATTAATTAGTAGTGTGTCCACAGCAAAGCTGTCCTGACATAGTACATATACACACATAAATATATACACACACACATATACATATATACATATATATATACATATATACATACATACATATACATATATATATATATATATATATATATATATATACATACATACATATACATATATATATATACATACTTACATATATACATACATACAAATACATATATATATTTACATACATACATACATACATATACATATATATATATACATACATACATACATATACATATATATATACATACATACATACATACATATACATATATATATATACATACATACATACATACATATATATATACATACATACATATATATATACATACATACATATATATATACATACATATATATATATATACATACATATACATATATATATATATATATACATACATATACATATATATATACATACATACATACATATACATATATA